AAACGCATACGCAAGAACGAAGTCCAATTCATCCTAAGAAGTCTTCATTTTCAAATAAGACTATTCGCATTCTTGTTCCATAAATGGAGGGTTCATTCCCTCTAGTGCAGAACTTTGTGGAAGTCTGCGCCGCCGGAAACACAGTCGGTATGAGGCGCTGTCGGCACTCGCCTGTCGCCCGTGTGCTCCATTCAGTGTCGTTCCCACATAGAAGAACTTTGAATGTCAAGGTGAGAAAGTGTGTCAGTTATGCATGGGAAAACGGTTTTTACGAAGTGTCCGAAGGCCTGAGCGTCTTTGGAAGGGTTGAGGTATTGGACGCTCGACTTGTTTTGCCTCAACTGTTGTTCGTTCATGGGGTCTGTTTCTTGTTTCTGCATTCTCCTCTTCAACGAACTCCACTAATCCTTTGTGCAAAATGAACACCCAGGTTTGAGACTTGTGGCTTCAATCTGCTCGGAGTACTGCTTGCAGCTGGCTTTGCAACCATACGTCGTAGTTCTCGTTATGGAACTCCTGCATAGCTTTATAGGCTTTTTGAGTTTCTTCTTCTCTTCCTCTTGTCCGCTTTTGCTCCTCCTGCACTCTTTCTTGGGGGTATATAGTCCTAAACATACTCTCCCCCAGCATTGTTCATCTGCTTTGACTCCATCGACCTTGCGCAGTTGGGCAACTTTGTCGCTGACGGCCCCCTCTACCTCCCCAGTTCCTCAGCTTGAGTTCGACACTGTTGCCTCTAGTCCTGTTGAGATGTCCAGAAGATGTTAATTGAGTGGAGAGCTGTCTTGTTCTTGTCATGTGGATGCGTTGGGATATGCCATAGCGCGTCGTCAAAGTCTAGTCATAAGTACACTGCAGAGCCCTGCAACTGGCTAACTCGTTCATCGATCTCCGCCACGGGAAACTTTCGCTTTACCGTGATTAATATTGGGGCGCTTAAAGCCGAAGCATAGACACTGCCTCACCTTCTTCTTTACCCTAATCGATTGTCCAAACACTGATGTGTGAACTTCGCGACAGTCCTTCTTAAAAGAACGTCTGTCTGCCCCACAGTTTCCCCCCTTAAGATACGGAGACCGCTTGTCACTAGGAGCAAAGCCTGCTCTTGTGCCGTGTGTGGTTTCGATGAGGCGCATGGGGCGTGGAGTTGATCGCGGCAATCTGGAGACATTCCTTCCTGATGGTCTTACGAATGCACTACCTTGCAACGTAGTGCATTCGTAAGACCATCAGGAAGGAATGCGTGAATTCTCAATAGTTGTCAGCTGTGCCTGTGCTCTGCATTGTAATCTCCCCGCCCCCTTCTTCGTGAGGCACTTACTTCCCTCCTCTTCTCGTGAAGGTTGGATAGGCTATTGGTAGTGCTGAGAGATGCTCCCCCTCATTGCTTTTCGGCGCATGGGCCTCAATAATGTCTTATGGAGGCTGCAGGCGGACCCTACGTTGTGGGGGAACCTGAACTTTGAATAGTAGTATTCTGTCTCCTAACCTGAACTTTGAATAGTAGTATTCTGTCTCCAGAATTACCGCACACGGCCACAGAGGAATTTGTCGCTATCCGCCATCCG